TTCAGCGTTTTTACTATATTTCTAGGTTTCCTATTTCTACGTTTAATCGGCCCATGTTTCAGCCACAATATTTTGAGGCCAATATTATTTACGAACCCAGTTAAACTTATTTACTAGCCTGTTTTAACGTGCTAATTATTACATTTAGGCGACGCTTGTTGTAGTGTTTTCGGAAATAAATACCATTTTATACACATGCACAGATCGATTTGCCAGCAGCGAGTCATCGTCAGCAGCGAGATGTCACTGCAGCAAAACACTATTGTACACAGTACCAACGCTGTTCTGATATAGACAATGGGTCGTGTCTCATATTATTTGTTATATTTTTATTATTTGTTATTTTCACTTGACTCGCATAAATAATTTTGTTCGAAGAACATTTATATGCAGTTGTACTTCGCAGCACTTCACTTGCAATTTGCAATTTCTAGTATAATTTGCTATTTTACACCTTGTCTTATAAGCAAGAATATGAGGTAATGTAAGTTCTCAACCCTGGACTGCATTCCAAAACCAGGTTTTAAAATTTGGTTCCAGAGTTCCTGATTTAAAGTTGTGCAAGTTTCTGATTTTCCTGGTGAATCAAATCTGACCAAAATGGCCAATGTACAGGTAGTATTTCCCTCAGCTGATAGGCTTAATGCATGCATTTTTTATGCGACTCTTTCAGAGGTTGTGTAGACTACTAGATACAAATTATAAAAGCAAAAAACTTCACAGGGCCGTTTTTGGTTCTTGTGCGTAGCAGCAATGCATTGTAATAGAAAATTGAGAAAGTAGAACTAAACCCTATCAGGGTTGCCAGATAGTCGACAAGCTTCACGCCAAACACGCTATTGATATCAGCCAAAATTCGGCCAGATTTTAATCCGATTAGAAGACAACAGTGGGTAGGCCTACATACTCATCAATACTTCAAAATTACACGAAAATCAGCGATCATTTGTTGGAAATTGAAGAAAGTAAAACAATATACACAGAACAATGTTCATCTTACACTGTTTTTCATATAGTTAATTTATCACCATAAAATAAATGCCCAGCTACATCATAATAGGCCTATTAAATATGTTCTTTAAATAGTTGCTGGCATGTAGGCCTATTCAGGGGCGGATCCAGTGATGTTCGAAAGGGGCATGCCCCTCGAAATTGTTTTCTAAACACCCGAAAATAACCTTTGAGGCGTTTTGAACTATCAATTTTTCTTTTTTTTCTTTGTTTTTAACTTTGCAAAAAGGGGACCATCCCCACCCACCTCCCCCCGATCCACGCCTGCTATTTAAAATCGCATTAAGATTGATTAAATAAGGTACATTGTAGTCGATCAATAGCAATAATTTTAAGGGCCTGTTATCGAATCTTATATGGCAAATCCGTGGCTCTCTTTAATTAGAATGTAAGTTTACATTAGTTATGAAAAAGTGGCCCGTAAATCTTCATCTTTTCCTGTTTGTTTAAATTCTACAGTTGTTTTTATCTCCTGTACCTGAAGCAACTCATTTTTGTACTCTGGAGAAATTATTAGGTGTTGAAATTATGTATTTACTATGGATATTCGAAAACCTGGTTAACTTTTTATTCAATTATTTACTTTTTTTTTTTTTTGATAACGGAAAATAAAAAAGAACCAATGTATGGTGGCAATATCCCAATACTCAAACATAATTTTAGGCCTATTCGGTCATGCTCCGTTTCGTAAGGACAACTGTATTTTTGGATATTACAGAAAATAATGAGTTTAGAACCCTTGTTTTGTATGACATGTCAAAGTTCTTGATATACATAAATAATTTCCCGATATATAAAATATATTTTGATTTTTTAAAAACGGTTGAATACCTGGTTTAATTTCTAATATCCGAAAATCATTAACCGGGAAAAAAGAACCATGATTCTAAACTTCGGAATGGCAAACTTTAATTTTTTATATATTGGAAAATGATGAATAAAGAACTTTTTTCCAATTTCTTCTTTCTTTGAAAAGTTTTGCTTTCGAAAAGTAAAGTATTTACTTTTATCGAATTATTTTTATCTTTTCTTTAATTTTCCACATGATGCACTTTGTTTTTCTCCATTGGTATTGCGATCATGTAACGTCAAGCTTCAAAAGTACTATGTCGCCCTCTGTTGATGCTATATAGCATTTACCCATTTAACTTAACACGGCTTTGTGTTTTATATATCAATACTCTTTTTATTTAATACAATATTGTTTTCCAAATGTGAATACATTTAACAATTGTATCTCCAAAATAGTACAAATAAAGTTGATATTAGTTAATACATAAATATAATGTTAGAAATGTTTTCGAACTATTTGGTGACGTAAACCGATTGCGTAGTAAACCTTGTTACAAGTTGCTGTTATACGACATAGACAATTTTGTTCGAATATCGAACAGGGAATGCATCCAAAAATTACATTGCAAGTAAACAAAATCTGTTGAAAAGGGAATAGGCCTAGCCTAGGCCTAGCAAGTAGTTTTCGATATATTGTTGCTGATTTACTCAACGTTTACAATAAGGCGTGCTAAAGCCAAGAAATGGCCAAGTTAATAGCAGTGTGTGCAAAATCCGCCAAAGATAAACCTCACAAGTTTGAGGAGCGGCAGGTGCCTTTGGAAGTCGAAGATAATCTCAAGGTAGGCTAGCCGGTGCGCGCGCAGCCTGTCCTGCTCTGCTAGGCTAGGCCAGGCCTAGGCTAGGCCTGGCCTGGCCTAGGTCAGGTCTGGCCTAGGCTAGGCCTGGCCTAGGCTAGGCCTAGCCTAGCTATGCTTACTTAGTGCCTATGCCTAGGCCTCCTAGGATCCTAGGCTAGATAGAGAGCCCTAGGCTAAGTCTAGCTATTAAATCAAGCAGCGTATGCATAATAAAATATAAATTGCAAATAAAAAATTACAAAAATTAGGGGGCTAGCCTCTAGGCTACGCCTAGGCTAGACCCTAGCCTAGGTAGGCTAAGTTTTTACAGCTTTTCCACTGTGGCAGGGCCGATAGAAATTATCAGCTTTTTTTGCACTGTGACAATGCCTAGAAAACAGCAGCTTTTTTCGCACAGCAGCAATGCCGATGGATAAAGACAGATTTTTTCACACTCTGTTGTGGCAGTACCGATAGAAAAACAGCAGCTTTTTCGCACTGTGGCAGTGCCGATAGAAAACAGCAGTTTTTCCCACTGCAGCTACTGTATGCCAATAACAGCAATGCTAATAACAGCAGCCGCTTTTTTTCGCACAGCAGCAGTGCCGATAGCCACTGCCACTAATGACATTGAGTAAAGGAGAAATGGAAAGGTACTGTATCCCCTTAGAAAGTTGTTGAAATTTTTCAGGATCTTGGAAATCATAGAATTTAGAAAATTCCATGATTTTAGCTATATTAATTATTATTACAGTAATAGTAAACTAAAAATAGTCTTCATGTATGTATGTAAGTTAAATCTTTGATTCTCGAATCTCATACTTGCCAATAACAACATTGATCATATTCATACTGTATTCATCGATCACGATTTTATAAATAATATATTAAAATAATTATTGCCACAATCTTTTTTTTTTGGGGGGGGGGGAGATGGGTGGGGGGTGGGATTATACCTGGGGATT